AAAAAAAGTATAAAAAAGAGATTTGTTTCATACATGAATCATTTTGTATAAATGGTAGGCATGATAACGAGATTTCTCAAGGCCATCCTGTTTCATTTTAAAAAATAATTTGAGGCAGGTATGATGGCACACACCTGTAATCCTAGTTCCTGAGAGTACTGAAACAAGAGGATCATAAATTAGAGCCTAAGAAACTAAGGTGGAACTGTCTCCAAAAAATGTAAAACGGGTGGGGACAGTGGCACACATCTGTAATTCAAGCATACTGAGAGGCTCAAGTAGGAGAATTGCGAGTTTGAGCCCAACCTGGGCAAGTTAGTGATTTAGTTATGTTTCAGAACTTTAGAAAGTTTAAAAGGGTAGGGAATGTAGTAAACCTCTGGGTTTAATCCCTGGTACTGACCAAACAACTATAACAACAAACAAAACAAATTGAGAATTCATAGTTTGGGGGGGGCAGTCTTACTATGCAGTTCAGACTGGCCTTGAGCTCACTTTGTAGCCCTGACTGGTCTTAAACTTGCAGTGATCCTCCTGCCTCAGCCTCCTGAGTGCTGGGATTACAGGCATGCCTGGCACATCCAGTGAGAATTGGGACTTAATGAAAATTGCTCTATCCTTGCCAATAATACTCAGTGTTATTCAGGTCCAGTTTCCAGAATTATTTCTCTTTTATTTATTTTTTCTTTTGGTATGGGATCTTGCTACACAGTTCAGCCTTGTAGTGATCCTCCTGTTTCAACCTTCCCAGTGCTGGGATTACAGGTGTGCACCACCTGTTTTTTTCCACTGGCTCAGTGGTTTGAACCAGGGTTCAAACTCGGGACCTTGTCACCTTGGCAGGCAGGCGCTTAGACCACCAAGCTATCTTCCCAGACCTTATTTTAGAATTACATCTTGGTACTCTCTTCTTGGCCTGTTACACCGCTGATACTTGATTAGTTTGTCTCAGTCTCTAAGTATTGTGAATCTTTTAGCTTATGTTTGGAATACTGTTTCCCTCCCCCATTTATTTATACATATGAGTAATATATTTGTATGTTAAAGGCTAGGGATATAGCTCAGCAGTACAGGTGTCTGCCTGGCAGGTGCAAAGCCCTGAGTTCAATTCCTGGCACACACACACACACACACAAAAGCCTTTCAGAGTATATTAATGTATATAAACATATATTTACTGTATACATACATACTTATTTTTTCTTTGTATGCTTAGCTCTTCATATTTCAGCTGAAATATAACTTTTGAGGGCTTCCTAGGGCACCCTATCTAAAGAATGTCCTAATTACATGTCTCTGTATCTATGTATTTTCTAGTACTTCTTTTAAATCTTCCACTAAAGTATTATCTGATTAAGTTTAGATAGGCAGGATGACAGCAGGTATCTGTACAGAGGTACACTGAAACAATTTTTTTATTAAATAATTTTAACACTAGACCTGTTTTTTAGTTATATATATGTTGTTGAAAGAAAAATTAAAGGGGCTGGTGACACACACACACAAATAAAAAGAAAAATTAGGAGAACAGAGAAACAGTGCTGCAAATAGAGCCAGGAGATTTCTTTCTTTCTTTCTTTCTTTCTTTCTTTCTTTCTTTCTTTCTTTCCTTCCTTCCTTCCTTCCTTCCTTCCTTCCTTCCTTTTCTTTCTTTTTTTTTTTTTTTTCTTTTCCTTCCTTCCTTCTTTCTTTCTTTTTTTGCGGAACCAGTGATTGAACTCATATCCTTGCACTTGCCAGAAAAGCACTTATTCTACTGAGCCATCTTCCTGGCCCCAGGAAATTTCTAATCTGAGATGAGACCAAATTTCAGGTCTCATTGAAGTTGGTTAGGAAGTAAGGAAATACTTTGGCTCCAGCTAGCAAAACTACGTGGGAATATAAGATGAACTGAAAAAGAGATCACAAGTATGCTAGTGTGCACATAAATGAGAGTCGTAGTGGCACATGACTGGAGTGGAAGTTTTCTGGGAAGAGATACCTTCAGTAACAGAAACTTCTAACCTGATTGTAACCTGTTATTTTTAGTTTTCTTTATGGTGCTGAAGAAGCTATATTTTTCTGTATCTGTGCTTAAAGAGAGAGAAAAAGACATTGAGTTTTTAGGATTATTGTAAAGTACAAAGTATGGTGGGTTTTTAAAAATCTATAATTTGTGTATCTTTTTTTCCTTGTCATCCTACATCAAATAATGTTTGTCTTTTATAGATACTTAGCTTCCTGTGGTATACTGATGAGCAGAACTCTCCCATTACATACCTCAATTTTGCCTAAGGAGATTCGTGCAAGAACTTTCTTCAAAATCACTGCACCATTAATAAACAAAAGAAAAGAATATTCAGAAAGAAGAATTATTGGGTTTGTATATAATATTAATTTCATTGAAAGCACATTCACAGTGTTTTGTAGAGAATTATGCACTTTTTGGTTTATCTTTTTTTAAAAAAATCTTTATTTGGTACACAGTCTTGCTATGCAGCTTGGACTCGTAGTGATCCTCCTACCTCAGCCTTCCCAGTGCTGGGATTACAGGTGTGTGCCACCATGCCCAGTTTTGGGGCCTGGCATGGCATGCAGTACTGGGGATCAAACCCAGGACCTAGCACTTGCCAGGCTGGTGCTTAGATTGCTAAGCTATCTCCCCAGCCCTAAATTTTCTTTGTTTCTTTTCTTTTTTTTTTTCATTGCTGCTGATTAAACCTAGGACCTTGCACATGCTATTTAGCTCTATGACTAAGCTGTATCTCCAGCCCTTTGGTTTTTCATGCACTCTGCTTTTTATTGGTTGGTCTTTCTATACCCCTTCATGTTTTATGAATATAATACTTTATAGATAGATTTATTATTTTTTTAATTATTTTAGGGGAGGGTCTACAAGGTGTTCAGCGTCTCACTACTAGATTGGACTCATAGTGATCCGCCTGTTTACAGACTCCCAAGAGCTAGGATTATAGGCACACTTAAATCTTTTTTTTTTTGTTTGTTTATTTTTTTATTTTGTGTGTGTGTGGCCAGCTCAGCCCACCAGGGGGCAGGGGTGGGCTGGCACATGGTGCTGGGGGATTGAAGCGCGTCCCCGTGCTTTGCTAAGCTTGTTCTAAGTAGGTGCTTTAGACCACTGAGCCATCTCACCAGCCCCTTAAATCTTGATATGTAAAGAAAACCTGCATTTTTGTAGGCTCTTTTCATGATTATAAATATTAATTCAATCATGGAAATGCCCAGATTTTGTCATATTTCAAAATCATCCTCCCAACTTTTTTTCCTGGTACCCAGGGCTTTCCTACTAAGCTACATGCATCCCTCAAGTTTTAGTCATCCGCCCTCACCCCCAAACACCCCTCCCTGGTAGCTTCTTGCTTTGTAGCTCAGGCTGGGCTTGAACTCACTATGTAGCCCAAGCTGGCCTACAACTTGCCACAATCAGTCTCCAGAGTGCTGGGATTATATGTGGCATCACCATACCCAGCTCCTAACTTTTATTTATTTATTGAGATAGGCTCTCATAAAATTATTTATTAGGTCACTGGACTGAATTGTGTTTAATATACAGTTATATCTCCAACCTGGTATTTTTCATTTCTATGCTAATGTTTTTTTTCCTGCTTCTGTTTAGTATAGGACAGAGGTTGATTCTGTATAATTTGTAATTGGCCATCTTAGTTCTAAATTCTTGAATTGACTCATATCACCTGCCAGTTGATAAATGTACCTAATATTTTTTAGCACATGTACTTTGTATTTCATGTTCTGCTATAATGCTTTGTCTAATATTTTCAGAATTTAAAAACAAAAGAATTTTTGTGTTGTTTAATAGGAATCCTGATAGTTCATCATCTATGGAAAGAATCATAGTCTTTCTCTCCTTTTTTGCCAATTAATATGGTTAAAACAGATTCTTAGTGATAATCTATATACTGTTATTTTGTGTGTGTGTGGCCAGCTCAGCCCACCAGGGGGCGGGGCTGGCTGGCATGTGGTGCTGGGGGATTGAACCGTGGTCCATGTGCTTTGCTAAGCTAGTTCTAAGTAGGTGCTTTAGACCACTGAGCCATCTCACCAGCCCCCCCCCATATACTGTTAAATGGGTTGCTTTTGTTACTTTTAAAAATGTATTGCTGGGGCCATGGAGATGGCTCAGTGGAGTAAGCACTTCCCTGGCAAGCGCAAGGGCCTGAGTTCAATCCCCGGTTCTGAAAAAAAAAAAAAAAAAAAGTATTGCTTGGGGCTGGCGAGATAGCTCAGACTGTGTGCCTGCTTAGGCAAGCTCAGTGACCGGGATTCCATCCCAAACTCCACATGCCACGCTGGCCCCACCTCTGGGTGTGCTGAGCCGGCCCATGAGACTGGTAATAGTGGCACATGCATGCAATCCCAGCGCTGGGGAAGCTGAAAACATGAGGATCTCTATGAGTCTGAGCTGTGTAGTGAGACCTTGTACTGTGTAGCAAACACATGAAGATGTATTGCTTGGTTCTATTTGCTGATGTCTTTCTTACAGTTTTTGTATCAGTACTAACTAGGTGATGTTGGTATATAAGTTCTCGTTTTTCTGTTATTTTATTAGGTGGTAGTTATCAAGTTATTATGCTAAATTGTACAAGGAGGGCTGGGGAGATAGCTCAGTGGTGTAAATGCCTGGCTGGCAAATGCAAAGTCCCATGTTTGATACCTGCTACCATATGCCTTGCTGGCCAGAACCGAGCATGTTAACACACACCTGTGATGCCAGCACTAGGACTGCTGAGACAGAAGGATCACCTAGGAATCTGAACTGCATAGCAAGACCCTGTATCAAAAATAGTTAAGTGCTGGCCTGGAAAGCGTAAGGACCTGAGTTTAATCCCCAGTTCCTCCAAAAAAAAATAAAAATGAAAAAAGTATAACCTCAACTTTGGGGCTTGTGAGATGGCTCAGTGGTGTAAAGCTCCTACTTAGAACAAGCTTAGCAAAGCAC